CCATGTCATAAAGGCTTAGTCATGTCTCTTGACCAACCAATGAGCTGGTGCCCTGACACTTGCGCAGGTGGATCCAGCAACTGGCTCAATGTTTGTGCCAATTGTTTTGCTTAACCAGTATGCCAACCCAATGCAGGAAGATGGGATCTTGCCTAGGATCCCCCATGAGCAGGGGTTTTGACAGAACAGAATGAGGATCTACTTCATCTTTATGTAGTTTAGGGATGGGGAGTGGTCCGCAAGTCTCAACCTCAATGTTGGTTTGGCCTGGCATCTCCATCTTTATGAGTCATTCCAGCCAAAAAATCATGTTGTTTCTGAACAAAGGGTTGGCAGACATGCTCCTGTGCAGGGTGTCTGGAGAAGGGTTTCCCTTTAGCCAAAGGAGAAGGTGGCAATGGAGTGTGCCTCTTCCCTGCACTTTGACCATCCCATACCAACCTGTGCAAGTTCCAAACAAGCCAGGCCCATTTCCCACATGAAGGATGATATCACGGAATTGTTGCATCATGTCATGAAACTTGGACGCAGCCACTGCAGGATGGGCAGCAATGGACATTGCGTGCCTGAACTGTGTTGCCTTCATTGTCCCTTGCACAAGGCTGTGGTCATGAGAGGTGTTGGCAATGTTCAAGTGGCAAAGATAGCTGTCAACATCACATGGAGTCAAGGTGATAAAGAAAGCTGGATGTCCTAATTGGTAGACCAGGGAGCATATTTCATTTTGACAACAGCACTTGTATGCATCGCTTCTGGGGATGTCATACCTAAGCATATGAACCTTGCACAGGACTCTCAACACCATGTCTTCATCTGGTGAGCTCGGCTTCACCTACTGTGACTTACAGAGCTTGTCTGCCAGCTTGCTGAAAACAGGGGGAGGGATATGTTGAATGCTCTCCACAATATGCACATGGTGTCCTTCCCCAATGCAGAAACAAACCAATTGGGACGCCTGATGCTTTTGAAGGATGTTATGATACACAAAGGCAAATGCAGGTTCTTGTTCAAATTTACCATGTGCCAAACCCAAGAGGTGGCGCAGTTGCTTGGCCATGGACATGGGCTTCTGCTGACAGGGATCATCGAACCCACCCAGTGCAAAGGGGTCCAAGTGAGGGAACATCCATGTGAATGTATACTCATTTCAAAAGTCATGGATGGCCCAGTTTCCCCTCTGAGACAAGAGGAACCATCCACAGTTTGATAGACAGTGTGCAAGGGCTTCTGCTTTCATCATGTTGTATGAAGAAGAATTACTGGATGTGGTGGAAAAACTGGATGCCTCAAGGAAAAAATTGCCTGGATCAAAGACAGAAGACTCAAAAACATTACGAGAGGTGACATCTGATTCTGTCATGGTTTGGGCTTCTGTCAACTGGAAGAGACCAACCTTGATTGAAGGGAGAATGGATGTGTCACCCCCTGTGGAAGGGAAGAGAGCATCGAAATTGGCATTGGAGTGAATAGCACTGCCATCAGGAAAGTCCTCCATTGCACAGGTGTATGCTTTGTTGTGCTGGAACAAAAAATCCAGAATGAGGCAGACATTCTTGGCGGAAGCTTTCAGTGGTTTGACCTTGTGCAGGGCATCTGGGGTGGGTGCCTCTGGCCTGGCAAAAACAGCAACAAAGCTGCTCTTGATGTCATCAACAGGAGGGGGCAAAATGTTGTTGAGCATGACAGTATCTTGTGGGAAAATCAGCACATTTCCCTTCGAATATGGCTGCATGCTGTTGAAGTGGTTGCCATTCAACCTGCTCTTGGGGTTATTGAAATATTGAAAGCATATTTTACTAGCAGTACAGCAGGCAGTCAAGTGCCTGTTGATAAATGTGCTGTTGTTGAACACGGATATGACCTGGGGAGGGATGTGCTCATATGCATAATGGAATCCATTTGTGAGCACCAAGACAGGCATTGTGCCCTTGCATGGGGCAGCTGTGCAGGTGGAACCCAATGAAATTTGTCCATCAAAACAGTGTGGTGAGGAGAGGCTGCCAGGGTGAAGGTAAGCTGACTGATACATGTGAAAAGAATAACCAAGTGGCCACAATGGTATGGGATATAGTTGTTACGGAGGAGGATGAAATTGATGGCATGCACTGATACCAGATTCCAGCATGAGAGCAAAACAGGCTCAGCACATGAGCCACAAATGCCCCTGCGCAAGGCAGACACTGAAACAGAATTGATGAATTTGTTGACAATGCACTTGACCAGAGAAGGACTATCTTCAGGAGGGAAGACAACATCAGCAGGCACGGTATGTGCAGGCATGGAAGGTGGCCTGGCACAAGGGACACTGTGCTGCTGCTGCCAAATGTTGAACAAGGGAGAGCAACCATGCAGAGAGATACAGCAAGAACAAGAGCTGAATATCCAGACAAATTGCAGTGGTAAGCCATCTGCATGGACAGACTGTTTGAGGAGGGTGGCAATAAATCTATTTCAAGGCAGACAAGCAGCAACGTGGCATGAGACAAGCCTGGCAATGGATTGCAAATCTGCCACTGTGAACAAGTCATACATGTGCAACATTGCTGGGAGTGTTGAAATAACATAAAGGTTGCCAAGCACAGGGCCAACAGGGCAAGTAAGACATACTGCAAGAAAGCAATAAGAAGAATTAAGAGCCACAGGAGGGATGTGGTTGCCATTGCTGTCTATGATCAAATGTCCTGTAATGTTGACATAAGCCTCCATAATGGAATGGCCTCTGCACAGGAGACTTACCTTGTCATTGCAAAATACAAGAGAGAAGGGTGGCAGGAAAGATTTCATGAGAGAGACAAATGTTTTATGGTTGTTCAGCAAGGCTGAACAAGGCGGGTCAAGGTCACGTGTACAATGATGTGGGGGGACGGACAGAGGTGGCGGGGAGTGCCCGGCAAAACATTCAACAAACTTCCTAAAGAGGAAGGTTGGGCGGAAGTAAAAGGGGGGTTTTCCCCTGTACCGTTGGTGCAGCACACCCTCGGCATAAGGTGGCACGGTGCTTCTTTGCAGAGCAGGTGCTTTCTGCATTTTTGCACAGCATCAGATTTCGGTGTGTACCGAACGCGGGCAGGTGCGCGCCAGATCCTGTGATTTGGCAGATGCTATCTGAGGGTTTGTGCATCCCCCTAGATTCCAGCTCACAGATTTCGCAATTCAGTTGCCGAACGGGCTCTTACAGATCTTCACCGGCAATAATCCCCCAGGTATCTTCCATTTCATCTTCTGGCTCTCCCTCACTTCCACAGCAGCCTCCAACTATGTACGCGTACACCACCTGCAACGCTTACACGTACGCCTACGACTTCTAGGATGTACCTTATCCCGAAATACACGATGATCCGTACGCGTCACTCGCCGCACGAACGCGATGAGCTACTCTGATTTAGTTATCTTTGCGATCAAGAGGATACCGTCTTGAGCCGGAGCTGGAGGCTTCTCACCAGAGGCAGGCAAAGGGCTAAGAGGATCGCCTCCTCGTCCAGCACCCGTGTCCCAGAATCGTATGAGAGCCGAAGTTGTCCACACCACCGTAGGACGCGCGGTTGGCAAGCGGTGGCATCGACCATGTGTGCAGAACGCGGGCTGGGACGGCTGCTCTTGATGTTTGTTATGCTTAACGTGGGCGAGAGACGGCAGGTCGAAGTGTCTGGGTATTGGACAGGGCGGCGACGGTGCGAAGCGGGTGGAGTTTCCGGTGAGCGGCCGTATACAGATGGTAGAAGAATTAGAGAAGGATGTAAGCACGAGTGAGAATTGGTTGGCCTTGTATCTGCTACCAATGGAGCACACGGTTGAGTCCAGAAGCATCGCGAGAATGTACGGCAGTTGAACTTGAGAACCAGGGTAATTATATCAGGATACGAGCAGGATTGGAATTGGGCTGTCGTGTCAAATGTGTTCTCACAATAGCCTGCAGAGGCTCGGGACATCCTGTCACATTAATCAGTCGGAAATCAAGGAGTTCAGAGTGCAAGGAAGGGAACGGGCTCGCTCACCCGGGGGTGGTACAACCAGCTTGTGCCCCGCGCCGATGCACACCATACCCCCGCGCTTGCCTGCCTTTAGACAATGTGCTCTCATCACCGGAACGCATACATTAGCTTTTCGAGAACGGTTTCTCTGAATAAATAAGTAAATGAATATAATATACCAAACTCATTCACTCACCATCAAGACGGTTGTGCACAGAGCCACCGACAAAGGTCACATTTCCATGTGTGTCCGTTCTCTTGACACCCGCAAAACTTGTGGCGGCTTAGCGCTGCACGAAATGTGAGCTTGTGCTTTGAACCGGGAAGGGTCGCGTTGTTGTGAGAAAGCGTTGGAGTAACAGTGAAGACAGAACTCGTCGGCAGTCTCTTCAACTTAAATGTTGTACGAACCGTTAGAAGCGGTCCAACGATTGCTTCCTAGAGAACCTTGCAACTGACCGACGGACCTGCGAACCCATATTGAAGCCATAGGGACAGACCCAAAGGCTGACGAACCTTGGCGAGCGAGAGTTTGACACGACATCCACAGTGATCTTTTCTTCACTGCATTTTCGTGTACGGTAAAGCGCCCGCGATACAGTGCAAGGCGACGTAAGGGAATCTTGTGCGGCGGACGACGTTTGACGAATGATCCCCAAGGGTACAACAGGTTGAAGATGATATGGACGTGATCAACCGTGATCCAATCTATTCACCTGTATGGGCGAGGGCGAATTGCCAGTGGACATAGGAGAGAGCATCAGATGGAGTTGGCGACAGTACTGGTCCAATGGGCGTGGTAATGTTATGATGGTCGAGTTGAGGAAGCAAACAAGATGCTGTCTCAAACTAAAAGACAACTGTGATGAAGCACACGTGATCAACAATGCTCGTCCTAGTAATTTCATCCATTTATTTCAAATGCATAACTAGATACATTCATGCACCAGGCACGTTAAACCGATCATACAGAACCATCTAGGCGGCTTTCCGCAACACTCAAGCAGCATACGGGGGAAGATCATCATCGTCTCCATATTTCTTCCCACCTTCGCCGCGCAAGAACCGTTCCCTTTCCTCCCTCTCCAGCCTCTCTTTCTCCTCCTTCGCCTGTTTCTCGCCATCCGTCTCCTTAGGCGGCACCTGCGGGCCTCCCGATGGGTAAGCCCCACTTCCGCTCGCTCCTGGACTGGCCTGACCATGCAGAATCCTCTCCCTCTCCGCGCGCTCTAGAGCCCGTTTCTCTTCTTCGGCAGTCATATACCTTCCGCTCACAGTCGATTGGTGATCATCCTTCCGCAGACTGCCTTGCTTGGGCCCGCCACCAGATATAGGCACCCCAGTCTCTGCAATGGTGGGCATGGCTCCCGTCGTCGTGGTCGTTTCCTCGGGTGCACCAGCAGACCCGAGAGTGGCAGAAGCGAGTGGCGGCAAGGTGCGCAGGGGAGTGGGGGAAGTAGCCGGGCTTGTTATTGGCGGTGGAAGCGGTGCAGGGGCTTGATTCAGCGTCGAGGGATTCAGCGGTTGGGGAGACCCCGCAAGAATGCTATGGTGTGACAATGGGGAAGTGGGCGCAGGTTGGGACGGCAAACCAGGAGCTGAGCCTACCGAACCTGGTGCGGCAGTCGGTGCGAGGAACCTCCCTGGCTGAGGGAGAATTGCGCTTGGCGGCGGAGCTGTCGTTCCCGAACTTGGAGCGGTGAGTGCACTTACCGGTGGGTGGTCTCCACCAGGAGCGGAGGTAGCGGCAATCTCCCCTCCATGCGTTTCACCGAACCCGCGACGATCGCTAGCCGCACGCGAGAGGTTTGCCCCCCGGGGCACTGCGAGCGGTTCCGGTTGGGCTAGGACGTAGGTGTCGAGCGCGTGCTGCACTGCACTCTTGATGTCTGCGCTCTTGGCCGGGTCATACGGGGCTTGCTTCTCGGCCGTCGTTCCTGCGAGAGCGATTCCCGCTGCCGTAGGTGCGCCGGTAGGAACAGGGGGAATGAGGTCGAGCAGTTCCTCAGCTCCTCGGCATAACAGCACTAATCGTTCAGCGTATTCCCTCCTTGCCCTCCATTTAGCGCGCTCTTCCTCCCTTACTCCCTCACGACTCGCCCGCGCCACACGCGCCTCCAGTTCTGCGTCCTGCGCGGCAGCCTGCCTGAGTCCAGCAATAATTTTATCCTTCTCCCTCTGAGTTTGTGTACGTTGCAGCTGGAATTCCGCAGCTTGGCGTGCTGCGCGCCGCGGTGCAAGGAGCTGTTCGGCCTCCCGAAGCTGCTTGAGGGGGGCACGGGCGTCACCAGAGAGGACCGTGCCGACTTGAGCCGAGAGAGTGCATGAGTTATATTCGAGCCAAGCGAGGCGGTCGGTGACATCCTTGACATCGGTCTCTTGCTCTTGCCCCCAGAAGTACAGATCACGCGCATGGTTGCGCCCTGCTTGTGCAGCAGACTCGTAAGCCAGGCCAAGCGTCTTCTCGCCGGTAATGAGAAGCTGGAGAGTGCGGAGGAATGGAGGAACATAGGATCCATATTGGACCTGAAGTGAACGGAGAGACTGTGAGAGTTGATCTAGCGCTAGAGTGCGCGACCCGCCCAAGGGGGGAGAGGCGCTGTCTGAGTTGAAGGGTGCTCCGTGATGGGGGTCGGTGAGGTTTGACAACGTCTCCTGCAGCTTGTTGGTGATGTTGGAGAACATGGTGGTTGGGGTGAGAGTGACGACGGTGAAAGTCGATGTATGCGCGTTGAGGACGTGTTCAAGGTGGTGGGAACGGTGAGAGAGGTCGATGTATGCGCCTATGTCCCAGCCACGACTCAAACACGCCTACACCGCCGAGCATCACGTTACCTGTAACGTGACGTCATGGTTACCTCACTTGGATGGCTGTGTCTGAAACATACCTCGATCGTTTTTATTCGCTGCTTTACTCGTGAGCGATCTGACATTTAACCTGGCCCATTTATGCATATGGATGCAGCATAGTCCATGTCCCCCATAAGTATTCCATTTCATATTGCATATATAGCATAATGCATTCCTACAAGTCCATGTCATCCCGTTACGAACTCTGAGGGAATTTGGGCTACTACTCTAAGAAGAAACAAAGAAACAAAGTGATCAATTCATGTACTCAATACATGCTTGTCATGCTGTAGCGAGGTGGGCCCCTCTACTTGCCGAATTCAACGAAAGATAGAAAATGACAATGTGAGGTACGGATCTACCGTACGGAATCATAACTCATCACCAACCACGAGGGATAACCTCGACAAACTGCATCGTCTGTTCATTCGTCGTCAGCCATTAGTTCTCCAGGACCAATGTTAATGTGGCTTACCAGAGGTCCATCTACCTTGCAGTCCTTGCAGTACCTCGCGTCCTTCAATCCCTCGACATCGGACGTGAGCCGCAAACCAGAATCAGAGGATCCAGAAAGGGCAAGCTGTACGGACGACGTGTGCGAGGGGTTCGACCAGAAGGGTGTGAGCAAGTGGGAATCGGAAGAATAGGAGAAAAGTTGAGACTGGGTTTCAGGGGTATTCGTCGAGCTGCTTAACGGGCGCAGGGCAATGTTCCTGTGTTGCTGTTAGTTATCCTGGAATATGCAATACTTAGTCTAAGGTACTCACGTGGTATCCTCCGGATCGGCCATCTGACCACCGATGACTCCCCCGGCAAAGGACAGTTCAACGTGCTCATCTACGCCCGCGGAAGTGAAAGTGAACACTGTTGCCCGTGAACCAGCGATAGAAGGGATGACTTCGCATTGTACGGATGTGCAGGACAGGTAGCCGAGCGTCCGGTCATCGGGCCAGAGGGAAACGGCAATGTACCCTTCCATCTTCTGTGACCTACCCGTCGATGTTAGTCAACATCATGTACCTGTTGCAACGAAAAGCGGGGCGCACGCAAGGACAGGACGAAGGGGAAGTTCACCCCTTTTTTGCACCTTCCCAAGCTCTCCTATGACGACCCTGTCCAATTTCTTGACGGTGGCATCCATCTCAATTGCGGAGTCTAATTCGGATGTGAAGGTTGGGGAGCCCTGCGCTTGCCTTGCCCTCAACACCGGAGTCGGCGCCTTGAGCGGGAGACCCATGCGGAGGCGCTCAGCGTTGGTGGCCGGCAGTTCTGACTCAGGATCGGAGCGGATACTGATAGGGTTCATTGGGGGGAGGGACGGTACAATAGTACCCGACCCACTGTTCCCAGTGTCGCCGCCGTCGTGGAACACTCCCGACCAGGCAGAGGGCTGGGGATGGTGAGCCTGGCCGTGATGCCTCGGGATGATTGAAGCTAGGGAAGTGGAAACGATAATAGAAAGGAGCAGAATGCTGGCATGCATCTTGTTTGCTTTGCTTGGCGGTTATCCTCGGAAAGAAATCAAGGGCGGAGTGTGTAGATGGGCGCTGTCCAGCGGCTGCAATGGGAGAGAAGCAGAGCAACGTCAACGTCCAAGATGGGAGAATTAGCAGCTATAGAGTAGTGCTTGAAGCCACGCAAAGCGGGCAGGTATGTAGAGGGTGTCTGGACATGCCAGAGGGCCTTTAAGTACTGGGGCGGGCAGTAAGAGGTTCAGACACGGTGTGTGTGATCGTCACGCAGACGGGTGTTACAGCGGGCAGAGCAGCGTGTCCCCTGCAGCGCCCGGCCGGATTAATTCATATAGAGCGTTTTGATGACAGCTGCAACTGTAGATTGAACACGGACCTTGAGACTGCCCGTATGAGGCCGCGTTTCATGCATCGCCTCCGAGGGGCAGCCTACGCGACTGCAATTGATGCGGTATCCTCATAGCTTGTTGCAACAGAATTCCAGTGCATCGAGTACATAGCCAGAATGACAAGTATTTTTATGGTTGCAGAGAAGCAGTGGTAGAGAGGGACAGACATGGTCGTGAGAGAGAAGACGTGAAACGGATTATCGCGCTCCAGGTAGGGTCACATGATCTTAGGGCTCATCGGCGATGTCGGCACGGAATGACGTCCAACTGAATGGACCGGCAAAGAATTTCGTCCGAGATGGAAAGAGGTAAAGTCATTTCCCTTCTCTGTGCAAACTTCTCAACATTTGCAGGGCTGATATTATTGTTCAACAACCGGTATTTAACTAACAACTGGTTGTCAACAATATCATTGCGTGCAGGCCGCATCAATAGCTCTCATCAGCAGTAATTAGCAACATGACTTCTCTCACCCTTACCCGCGATGCCCTCAAACCCCAAACGATCGAGACGCCTTTCGGCGAAATCGACGAAATACCACGCAAGCCGCCGTCAATGCGTGCACGGACCATCGCAGCTGCATCAGGTGCTACGATGACTTCTCTCACAAGTACGTTCTCGTTAGCTAGAGTGCATGAGGGGCTGACAGCGAACAGTGACGCCCTTTGATGTGATCAAAACTCGGTTACAGACACAGTCATCAGGCGCACCTCGACCCCCGTCTCTGCTCTTTCCCTATCCTCCCCGTCCATGTGCTTCTTGTGCACCCGCGCCGACACCCGTCTCCTGTGCCCTGGCACCACACGCTGCACGGCCGCTATCCTCCTTCTCCGTATCACTTGCAAGCGTGGGAAATACAGGGAGACACACGACCGCTTCTTGTACCTGGGATGTCGGCTGGGTCGGCGAGGAACGTGTAGGAGGTGCTGTAGGTAAGAGGGTAGCGGGATTCTGGGATGGTGTGGGGAGGATCGCACAAACCGAAGGGGTGGGCGCTCTATGGAAGGGTGTCGGGACAACATTGTACGTTTTTCTTCCTGTCTATATGCGTACGCTAATAGATTTCGTCTCACCTCCTAATGCAGAATTATGTCCGTTCCCGCCCAAACGCTATACATGTTGACATACAGCAACCTCCTCCTCACCCTTCCCCCATCACCGACATTCACCCCGCTCGCCGCAGGCATGCTCTCCCGCACCCTCATCACCACCCTCTTCTCTCCACTCGAACTCGTCCGTACACGTCTGCAAGCCACGCCTCCCCCCGGCGCGAAGCGAGTGACTCTTGCGCATACCCTCGCCCATCTAAGGGAGAGCGTACAAGTGAGCGGAATGAGTACCCTCTGGCGCGGTCTCGCCCCCTCCCTGTGGCGAGACGTACCTTTCTCAGGAGTATACTGGCTCCTGCAGCACAACATCACCCTTTCCCTCGCACCCCAACTACCGAATTACCTGCTCGGTGCACCCCTCGCCTTCGTCTCCGGATTCGGTGCTGGCTCTCTTGCCTCCCTCCTCACCAACCCGTTCGACGTACTCAAAACTCGTCGCCAGACAGCAGCCCTTCCAGTGGAGATGGGAACCATACGCGCCATCACAAGTATCGCAAGACGAGAAGGCGCTCGTGCGCTCTGGGTCGGCGTGGGGCCTAGGACGGCGAAGATTGCCCCGGCTTGTGGAATAATGATTGCTTGTTATGAGGGCGTAGCGAGGCTCGTACCTTGATTCAGAGGCAATTAGATCGGAACGCCTGCATCTGATTGTTGGTGAGCATAGGTGGGAGGGATGTGCGTGGTGTCCTTGCCTTCTCTCCATGCCTAAAGATAGATGATGACGGTGACAGTGACGTTTACGACGGTATTCTTGGAACGACAGGAGATGCACGGAAGGAGGATCATCATTCGCCTTTATACTCAAGTTAATATATTACCACTTCGCTCATATTAGCACAGATAGAAAATATACGTCACACACATCCTGTATATATCCTACATCCATCTGTAGCAGATCTGATCATCTACTTGTTCTCTCTTCATCTCTTTCCTCCGCCTCCTCAAACCTCCTTGGGTGCTTAAGAGGGAGCTGATCTCCATCTGGGGCACCGTTCGACTCACGCCGTCCTCCGCTTACTTCTCGCTACTGTTCATTAACCTCGGGTAGAACAACCTCGACGAATCCTTTGGTCCACCCTTCCTGGAGCTCATACTTCCCTCCAAGCTCATCGACCACTAGTGTGCGCAGCTCAGCATCTTCACGTATCCCGTCGGCCTGTTCTCGCCAAGAGGGGCCCCAAACGGCGAGGTTGAATTTAAGCATGCCGTAGTTGCGCTTCTCCTTCGTGTCCCCCAACCTCCGCGTGGAGCACAACGTCGGGCTGGAGTACGATCCAGGCAACAGTGGTACTTTCACTGAAGCGGCTGAATCCTCCTCCAGAACCGGTGGACGAACCTTTCGCAGAAAACGAGCCACCGCTGTCGGGGACACATCTCCAATATCTGCGCGAAGCACCCTTAGCCCCATTGGCAGGGCACCAAACACCTCTCGAGAGAACAGTCCTCCCGCTACGACAGCAACAGAGCCAGGAGTATTGGTCGTGGAGAGAGACGTGGACCATGCTGCACGGGGGTTGTAGATGTTGAGCGCGAGGGTGTGAAGAGCGATCAGATGCGGAAGGACACGTTCTACCGGGAAATCGTCATACTTCCATAGCCCTTCTACGTCCTCGCCATCTTTGCCTAGTGTAGTCGATCTACTCCAGGTCTCCCCACCGAATCCTACAGCTACCCGCTTCTCGGTAAACCGCAGATTGTCTGGCGTGCACGTCACTTCCACATCCTCTATTGTTGCCCTCAGACGCCACAGTACACGCGCCAGGCACTCGTGTGTGATACAACTCTCTCTTGCCAAATGCAGGTGAAGGAGGCGCAGGCTAGGAAAGGGTCGTAACAGGCAAAGGATGTCGACGGTGTAGAGTGTGCCGGTGGCGGTGAGCTGCCTCAGGAGGTCGTGTGTCTGATTCGAAGACTTCTCCTCTTCAGAAGTTGCATTGTCATAGTGATAGGTAGATGTGTTTGTCCCGTGTGATACTGGGCTGACGTTAAGCCTCCGGAGCCCCTTGAGCGGCAACACCATCTGCAGCAGCTTGTCCGGTGTGAACAACACCGCTCCCTGCGCGTGTCCCCTAAAGGGGTTCTGCTCTTTGCTTCTAATTTCGAAATTCTGGAGGTCTTGTAACGAGAGGAGGGAAGTGCACAGTGCGGAGAAGGCGCGCGGGGATGGGTAGAGCCGGAGGGTGAGGACGAGGGTGCGGATGTGTGGACAGAGAGTTATAGCGAGCAACGAGAGTCGGAGAGGGGAGAACGGCGATTCGTCTGCCAAGGGATCCGTGCTATCTGATGTGGGGAGAATGGGCTGGTCGAATGATGTGCCCGGAGGTAGGTCGAATGGTAAGCCTTCGTCTTCTGGTGGAGGGTGGCGTTTCCATTCTGGCACGTCGTCCACCTCCAGTTGGTGGACCATCTCCCCTTTTCCACCCTCCCGCAACGCTGTCATCATCCCACTCGCCTGGAAAGGGTCTTGTAGGGGGATAACGATGTTCTTGTACAACATCGGGAGTACGACGAGACGCCATGACCTGGACACGCGCAGAAGGTGGAAGAGGGTGGAGATACGAGCGGCGTAAATGCTGGCGCTGGTATCGACCGTTGTTGTGCCACTTTCCGGACTTGTGGTGATGGACAACTCGAAGATGTAGGTGAGTAGCTCTGGGGGCAGAGAGGTGATGGGTGAAGATAGAGAATTGACGACGCTTGGGTCCATTATGAGATGGTGAGTTTGAGCAACAGATAAGCTCATATATATAGGTAACTCGCCGTCCCTAAATGAATGTACTTTGTTAACGGTGAGAGATCCATTGCAAGCCGTTTCAGCACAGATTCAAATTAGTTCAAGAAGGGCATGTTTAGACAAATATTTACACACTAAGTAGTTTGCGTTTTGTGACAGTCTTTTCTGCGCTGTCCGAACCGTGCAGCGGAGAGCTGACAAATTGCCGCGTGTCCAGCAAACTTCGCGAAACAGGGAAACAATTAATAACCCCTTCTGCTTATTCCGGCCAATTTGCATACCTGTACTATACAAGTAGATTGATCTCCAATCAATTGTCGAGCTTTCGAACATAGTTCAATGCTATGTTTTTTATTATTATTTTAGGTGAGATGCTTCTTTCTTAGCGGCTTAGCTGTGGACGGGCACACGGGATCAAACAAAATGATGTTATGTAATCTCTGCGCGGCATTTAGCTCAGATGGCTAGCTAGTCATCCATTTCCTCCCCAAGCAAACGCATCTTCTCCTTATACCAGTCCTTCGCCTTCTTCCCAGTCTTCGCCTCATATTGCTCCACGCTCATAGGCTTCTCTCCCATTGGCATTACACGCAGCCCGTGACGCTTCATAGGGTAGAAATCGAATGTCGCCGTGTGCCAGCAGCACCGGTTGTCCCAGAAACAGATCGTGTCCTTGCCCCAGCGCACACGGCATTGATACTCGGTGCAAGCACTCACTTGAGAGAAGAGGAACGCCAGAATTGCGTCCGACTCGGCTTTGGGAACTCCGACAATCTGGCGGGTGTATGCCGTATTGATGAAAAGGAACTTCATGCCAGTTACAGGATGCACCCGGACAACGGGATGGATGCAGTCTGTTTGGGGGCGGCGAATCTATACATATCCGTTCAGTCAGAGGCTGGATGCGCGAGACGTTGAAACCGATATTACATGGACTCCGCGCTGTATCGCCAATTGCTTTTGCATATCACTTGAATGAAGTGCCGACAGAGTCTCCAGATACCTCTGAAACTGAGGCGAGAAGCTCGAAAACACGGCGTATCCAGACGCCCACAGCGTGTCGCCCCCAGTCTTCGGTGCGGTGACCACCTTGAGCGATGTGAGACTGGGTGGGTTGATCTCGTACGTCTGGTCGCTGTGCCACCCAAAGTAGTCACGATTGAAGTTGATCCAGTCCTGGGGCTTTGTGCCATCATTCCACACGACTTTCATGAGTACATGTCAGTATGGACCACCTTTCTACACGGAACAATGGTACCGTGTGCGCCTTTCAAGGCCGGGTCCTCAGGAATACCGGTGGTCGAATGGACGTGCAACGGCCCGAAGTATTCAGCAAGCTTGATCATCTCGTGTATCGTCGCCTCTTGTTTGTGGAACACGACAACACCGCGTTGCGCTGTAAGAAGAGCACTACATCCTCCTATAAGCCACAGCCAGATTTCACTCGTTCACAAACAATCACAGTTCGTTCTTCTGGTCATCCGACAACTGACGGATGTCGATCCCATCGAGCACCGTGCCCAACGCCGGCGTCAAGTCATCCCTATGTGTCGCAGCCCCGAGCAGAGCTTTCATCTCCGGGTCCGCGAGCAGTCCCTTGTCCTTCACATCAAGCTCCACGTGTGGATCATAGTTGTACTTCGGCCAGGTGGGGAGCAGCTCCTTGTATTGATAGGACTCGTGGTCAAACATCTTGTGTTCAGGGAGCAGTTTCGTTTCAGTGGACATAGTGGAGTATTGAAAGGGCTTACGATGCCCTTACACTCCCAATACTTATACAGAGGATAGAGAGAAGGGTGGCCACTACGTGTCATTCCTCGGACCATCATGATCGCCTCTTGGAGGCGATCTTCTTACCTAAATAGGTAAGTATGGCCGGGTCGTATACGGAACCCTTATCAAGCAAGCAATTTGACAATGCCAGCGTGCAGCGTTGGGCTCCGGTTACAAGAAAGTGTTGCACGGAGCTGAGCCTTGGGAACAATCATCTTTTGTGGGTGTGATGAATAAGTCGAACCCAATCTACCATATCATACGGGATAGATTGGCACATTGCGTAGTCCCAGCAAATGTATTCGTCGGCATACCTTCCCGCACAGCCTAGCGGCCAGAAGCTAGCATCGGGATGAGAAAGTGAGGGCGATGTGAAAGGCGCAGCTACCGTGCCGGTAAGGAATAAGCCGTCGGATACCGTCACAAGTGTGAAATTTGATCACTAACGATCCTTAACTGGTTGATGATTCAATAGATTCTCAAACACTGAGGGAAGGGGTCACTTCCGCCAGTGTGTGAAAATAGACAATGCGCACTTTGCGCACATAGTGCCGTTCCATAAATGACAGTTCTGTTCGTCGAGATGTCCGCGACGAACGTGAAGGTGATATCAAAGAAATGACATCCTCGTCCTTTACTCTCCTCTCGCGGCGAATGGACTTCATTATCGGCGCCATTATTAGCACTGCGCCCCTGCCGGAAGTCTCTACTGCACCTAATTTAAATATTGCTTGTCAGCATAACTTAGTAGCCAGCGTCTGATTACCAATACAATGGGTTTTCTGGCACAATGACCATCAGCTTGTTCTGCGTTTGTCTGAGCAATCATGTCTACTTCATCCAAAGAGTACCGTTTATTCATTCTTGCATTCAGTCTGTCGATGTGTCAGCACACGTCAAGGGTGATAGCCGGAGGACATCGGTATATTCATGGTTGGTCTCTTTGGGGTAAATCGCCGTCATTCATCGTGTGCTATTATTGTCCTGCTCGCCCATGCAGATGGAAAACAAATTTTGACAGCGTCCCCATCATACACTCGCAACAGGAAGGCATGTCAAATTCGAGGTGAACGCGAAAATGCAGTGGTTTCAAGTAGACGGTAATGCGAAACGAGACATGACAGTGTAGATGCTCATCACACCTGTTCAACCGTTATGATAGACCGAAGCTCAGGGACGGGTGAGGCAGACTTAGGGCCGGCCCCTCACCAGCAGGCGCGCAGATCCACGGCCATCATACCATCACTCGAGGTACCCTGCTGCTGCACCCCTGCAAGTCCCTTCAATATTGCATGGTGTTATCATCAAACTTCAGACTTCGTGCGCCAGACGTCCAACGCTTTATCTTGTAACCCTGCAGGCCGAATATGAATAACAATAGACGAAGGTCATCGACGATGTAGAGCAGCAAGGAGGAAGTGAACTGCTCGAGGACATGATGTGTTTCAGGCAAAGAGCAGTCTCGTCTGCGGTGAGGCAACCAGGTAACAGAAACGCGGGCTTGTCCCTCAGAAACTCAGAGTGGCCTATCCCATCTGATCGTGCCTCGATGATCGTGATGGATGAGCGCAAAAGAACTCAGTGGCTCGCTACATGTGACCCACTAGGAGACAGACATTGAAAAGGCGTTCCATTACCCAGTCAAGTTCACTACAATCACAATCAATTTTGCTAGAAAGCCAACCTGCCTTTCTCTCCTCAGTCGGCACCTGCGATCTTGGATACTTCCTTGGGCGGCTCGTCATCCACCTCCTCCCCAAGGGAACGCATCGTCTCCTTATACCAGTCTTTCGCTTTCTTCCCCGTCTTGGCCTCGTATTGCTCGACGCTTAACGGCCTCTCGCCCACTGGAGTGGCACGCAGTCCGTGCCTCTTCATCGGGTAGAAATCGTACGTCGCAGTGTGCCAGCAGCACCGGTTGTCCCAGAAACAGATCGTATCCTTGTCCCAGCGAACACGGCATTGGTACTCGTTGGAGGCACTGACTTGAGAAAAGAGGAAGTCTAAGACTGCGTCCGACTCGGCTTTGGGGATCCCGACAATGCGGCGAGTGTACCCAGAGTTGACGAAGAGGGACTTCATACCGGTCACGGGGTGTACCCGGACAACAGGGTGAATGCAGTCCGTCTGAGGACGGCGGATCTAAATACCCTCAGTGATCAGGCGCTTGCGTAGAGTGATGAACCCAATCTCACATGAACTCCGCGCTCGATTGCCTGCTGCTTCTGCACATCACTCGAATGCAGCGCCGACAGTGTCTCCAAATACCTCTGGAACTGGGGCGAGAAGCTTGAGAATACTGCGTAGCCAGATGCCCAAAGCGTGTCACCGCCGGTCTTGGGCGCGGTGATCACCTTAAGCGACGTGAGGCCGGGCGTGTTGATCTCGTACGTCTGGTCGCTGTGCCACCCTGCGATACCGCGATTGAAGTTGATCCAGTTGTGGGGTTTTGTGCCGTCGTTCCAAACAACTGTAACGTGTGAGGATGCGTTTTCTAGAGCTGAGGGGATCCGTACTATGCACGCCCTTCAGAGCCGGGTCCTCAGGGATTCCGGTGGTGGAGTGGGTATGCAGGGGCCCGAAATACTCGGCAAGCTTGATCATGTCATAGATCGTCGCCTCTTGATTGTGGAACACAACGACGCCCCGCTGGGCGGCAAGGAGAGCGCTGCATTCCGTATGGGCCTCAGGAGACAGGTATGACTCATGCAGAAACACTCACAGATCGTTCTTCTGGTCATCTGACAGCTGGCGGATATCGATCCCATCGAGCACCGTACCCAACGTCGGCGTCAAGTCATCCCTATGTGTCGCAGCCCCGAGCAGAGCTTTCATCTCTGGGTCCGCGAGCAGTCCCTTGTCCTTCACATCAAGCTCCACGTGTGGATCATAGTTGTACTTCGGCCAGGTGGGGAGCAGCTCCTTGTGTTCGTAGGATGTGCGGTCGAATGTCTTGTGTTTGGGGAGCGGCTTCGCCTCGATAGACATACTGTGAGAGCTGAACAGCCGAACTAATCAAACAGAGGGCGATTGGCGAGATCCCAGGAACGGCGGCAGCTTAAATGGAGTCAGCCTCACCAAGATCGAGGTCTGGTGGTCTGTCCTCCACACAAGCCAGCGCGTTGGCTAGTTGAGGCGCAGTGTCCCTTGGTGAGGCACCGTGCAGCTCCAAGGTAATAGTGGGTTCCGCCTCAACTGTGGCGAGTAGCCCCACACTGATACGAATCCGCCTCCACATGACCTTCCCTTTTGCCATAACGGGCCATTGATATCCTCCACACCTGTGCCACGGGGACTCCATATTCCTCCACACGGGGCAGGCACCATTACTCGGCACGACGGATCCCCTGGACCGGGTAGAAATGAATTAATCCGACAAGAGCGGAACGGACCCACCTCTTCTCTTGCCTAATGTATGACGATCCGCGCGGTATTGAGGTTACATTGCGTTCCTCATTGGCGACATGACCATGGCACGCTTGGCGCTCGTGACCGATGTGCCTCCACCTCACGTGGCTGTTGAATGGCCGGAGACGCTTCTATTTATATTCCTTCCCAGGCAATGCACCGCCACTCAACACCATTTCTTCCCCAAACGCCGAGATGCCGCACTGTGTTGAGCCAAGGTGGATGGTGATGTGATCGCATCGCGAATGTAGATGCCGTCGCCAAATTGGCTTCTCGATACAGAATCTATCAATGAAGTTTCTCCGGCCTTCCGACCACTATATCTAGAGGCACCATTCAGCTCCACAAGCTTCGGAAGCCGGCCCCTCACCCCACTCGTCTCCCTGCACTTGCCTTACACTGAATATGACTTCAAAGCGAGTTATCGACCCAGAGACTGAGAAAGACGCGTCTTTGGAATTGAAAGAGGAGTCCCAGTATGTGGAGAAGACTCTGCCTCATGGTCATGAGCTGCATGTCAAGAATGCGCGTTTTGCGAATGCAAAGCTGCACACCACCCTGAAGCTGCGTAGTAAGGAGGTGAGTCGGCACACTTTGTGAGCGTTTTGATGGTCTACAACTGGCTACAGGGATTTGTCCTCTTCATGTGCATGTTCACATGTTTCTTGACTTCCGCTGTCTCTGGGTATGACGGCACTCTCATGACCTTTAAGCGCTCATCAATGATCTCACCTAAGCAACTCATTTTTTTCCAGCTATCAATGGTATGCCCTTCTGGATTAACACTGTCAACGCTGGCCAGCCAGCCGTCGGCACCGGTCTGATCTTCTCCATGTGTGAGTTATAACCCTTCTCGTCCCCTTCTCCAGTTGCCTGAACCCCTCCCCCCCTCCAAAAAAAAGATACTATCGGCCAAATTATCGCACCGATCTTCGCAGGCCCCTTCACCGACTACTTTGGCCGTAAGTGGGGTGTCCTGTCGGGATGTATCGTCATCTGCATCGGCACCGCTGTAATCTCGTCTTCGTTCGGGCAGACCCAGTTCGTCGGGGGCCGTTTCCTACTCGGTTTTGGCGCATCTGTGATCTCGGTCGCCGCACCCGCATATTGTGTAGAGGTCGCCCCACCTCAGTGGAGAGGACGCATGATGGGCCTGTTTAACACGGGCTGGTACTCTGGTTCCATTCCTGCTGCGGGCATCACCCTTGGGACACGTAACATCATGTCCGACTGGTCGTGGCGTGTGCCGCTCATCCTCCAAGGTTTACCCGCCCTTGTGGTATGCTTCATTATTATGGTAAGCCATTCCTGACATCCCTGCGGTCCATGCTGATTAGTTGAAGTTTCTCCCCGAGTCACCGCGATGGCTTATGGCACAAGGCAAAGACGACCAGGCTCTTGCCTTCCTCATCAAGTACCACGGATCGGGGAACCCGGATGATCCGATCGTTCAGCTCCAATACGACGAGTTCAAAGAAGCAATCGAGCTGGACGCTTCCGACAAGCGTTTCTGGGACTGGTCTGAGCTGTATAACACTGCCAATGCGCGCTGGCGTTCCCTCATGGTTATCTTCATGGGAGTTGCCGGACAGTTCTCGGGATCTGGCCTGAGTTACTTCAACTTGCAACTGTATTCCCAGCTTGGTTTCAACACGACTCAGCAATTTGATTTCAATCTTGGGAACCAGTTCATGAGCTGCACGGGATCAACGATTGGAACCAGTCTGGCGGATAGGCTTCCTAGGCGTAAGGCGCTGATTGGTGGAACATTTGGCTGTGCGATGATGCTTGTCTGTGCGGGCGCGTTCTCCGAGCTCGTATCTCAAGGGCGCGCGAGTCCTGCTATGGAGCGTGCTGGTGTCGCGTGCTACTTCATGTTCCACATTAGTGAGTCTTTTGGAGAGATTAATGATGACAGTCTGTCTAATGTAGCTATGCACAGTCTCCGGGTTTACGTTCACTCCCCTGCAGCCAACCTATCCGTCCGAGTGCCTCAAGACCAACACTCGTGCGAAAGGGATGGCGCTATATTCGATCGTATGCGGCGCCTTCAGCTTCATCAATACGTTCGCTGGCCCGATCGCGCTTGCTAACATCACGTATAACTACATCTACTTCTTCGTCGCATGGGACCTATTCGAGTGCATCATCTGGTACTTTTTTGGTATCGAGACACTCGGAAGGACGATCGAGGAGATGGAAGAGATTTTCAGCGCATCAAATCCTGTCAAGGCGAGCATTGCCAATAGGGACATCCTTCTTGATGATGTGCATGAGAGGGTGTGAACGTTGGCGTATACGTACGGTCTGTAACATACTGCTCCGTTCTTGCTCCACATAGACAATAATGTTGCTGTTGATGCATTTCACCCCATAATGAAAAACCATATTCCTACGCTTTGTGCGTTTGAGGGAAGATATGTCGGCTGTTCAGTGACGCGGAGATGCGGAGAGAGAGGAAGCAAAAAAGGATTCGAAATTAAAGTCCCTCATCATTTACTCACAACAAAGAAACTTCTATCAACCCCGAAATTTCATCAGCAAATTCATCCAAAGAATCTCTACTCAGAATAAACCAGAAAAAATCGTCAACGATTTCGGCGGATTGTCTTCATTCTTCTTCGTAGCTCATCGAGCAAGAACGACCCACAAAAGAAAATTACCTACTTAATACACGGTATCCAGCAAGCAGGAGCAGGCCTCCCCTCCTTACTTATCTTGGTCTGATTTCATCATCTATCACAAGACCAAAGCGTTTACTTCTCGACTTCCTTCCTCGACACCTGCGCAACCTTCATCATCAACGTCAACGTCATCACCGACACCGTAATCATGTCGACCACCACGACTGCGTCTACCCTCCCGGCTCCTGCGGCGCAAGCCAGTCGGGCAGCTCTTGAGGCTGCCCTCGCAGACAAGACCAATATACCCCCTCCTTCCGGGGCTGCTTTGAACGGCATATCCTCCCAACCCGCAAAGAAGCGCGATGAACTCGATGAGTTGCCAGACTTTGAAGGTGAAGACGACTTTCCTGAGATCACCCCGCAGCCAGAGCTAGTCAAGCCTACGAATGGCACAGATAGCACACATGCTACTGTAGGAGGGCTGGACGAAGACGGAGAAGAGAATGATGAACTTGAGGACGGCGAAGAGGAAGATGGGGAAATTGAGGAGCACACACAGGAGGACTACGAGACTCGCGATGTTGCACAGATTATGGAAGAGCAGGAGGATAGGATCAGGACCGTGTTCGACGATCCTAACGGGTTCAATGTCAAGGTGCGTCTCTAATTCAGCACGTCGGCTCGTCGCAAGTGCTCAACCGCCTCTGTCCAACCTTCAGCACCCGCTCTTTTCCTCTTGGACCCTCTGGTTTGATTCCCCCGCGACGAAGGGTCGCAACCTTCCCCCGACTCCGCTCACCTCCGCCGCTCAGTCCTTCCCACCCACTCCCGGGGGTGTGCCCCCTACCCCGGGCGGCGGCTCCTGGATGGACGACATTAAGAAAGTGATCACGTTTGACAGTGTTGAGGAGTTCTGGGGGTATGCCCAAATTCTTTCTGTTTGCCGTCCTGTCGTTACTGATGTGTCGCACGTGAATAGTCTGTATAACAATATCGTCCCACCGTCGACTCTATCGCAAAAAGCGAACTACTACCTCTTCCGGGAGGGTATCATCCCAGCCTGGGAGGACGCAGCGAACAAGGACGGCGGAAAATGGAGCATCCAGCTGCCAAAGGACAAGACCCGCCCACACATCGATAAGATGTGGCTGTACACAGTGCGCCTTTTCCCTGCGTTCGTCGTTAAGTGCATACCCTGACTTGGCCATTCCGTGCAGATGCTCGCCGCTATTGGCGAAACCTTCGATCCTCCTCACGCCGAATCGACCCTACCCCCGCAGTCGCTGATCACCGGGGTGATCGTATCCACCCGTCCACAATTCTACCGCATCTCCATCTGGACTCGCTCTGCGCCCGCCTCATCCAGCACGAGCATTACAAATTATGACCCTGCTGCAGAAGCAGCGCTCACGCAGCGTATCATGGCCATCGGAGCGCATTTCAAGACCAGCGTGCTTGGATATGATATCAAGGCCAAGCTCACAGGCGGTTTGAGTACCGAGGTCGAGTTCCAGAGTCATAAAGAGAGCGAGAAAAAACAGAGGGGTCAGAGCAAGAAGCTAATAGTGTGAGCTAGATGCGTGATTCGCCTGTCTGCAGATCTCGTCCGGCCGAGCGCAGGCAGTGAGGAAAATGCAGTGTGCCGGCATCAGCGGCGTAAGAGGATTGGAGCGAGTAGGCTCATCTGTGTCGTAGCTATGTGTACTTCCTCCTTTTGAGATTTATGCATCGCAAGGACGTATCGATCTTTTTGCTTTTTTTGATCGATATGCTTGTCAATAATCATAAAGCTCCTTTTGTCAATACTAGACGTTTCCCCTTTGGACGTTGCTTTTCGTAATATGTATAAGCACAAGGCGGGCATGGAAGATAACATTCGCTTTCCTCACGAGATGAAGTACAGAACTAGTACACAACCGATAAAATATGGCACAACAGGTAACAAAGATGAAGAGGTTATTGTTAGTTATGATGTATTTGAGGGCACATCAGATACAACACAGAAGGGACACACATGCCAACCAGGAGGTCTTCTTCATGTGCACCTCCTTTTTGGGCCTTCACTTGGTGACAGGTTCGCCACTTCAATTGAGAGAACGTCTTCAGAGTCAGCTCTGTCACCCTCCCACTTGCTTACGCCTCCCTACGGTACGACGTGGTGGAGTACTTGGGGTGTTACTTGAGCTAGCCAGCTGCTCTTCTCGCCTTTCCCGCTCTTCGTGCTCTTCGTGCTCTTCTTGGTCATGGCTGCGCAGCGGGTAACGAGCTAAACCAGGTGATGAAGAAAGCGCGCTTGACCTAGGGATAGTGGAACTGCTGTTCCTAGTAACATCAGGAATCTCTCGAGTCGGCGTCAGTCGGCCATCGACGCTCAGGCTTTTTTGATGACCTTTTCCCCTAGTGTTCGACGAAGGCGTTAACTGCAAACGTGTCCTGCGTGGCTCCGAGCTGATCTTTGATGATGTATCCAGCGGGTCCAATGGCGTAGGAGTGCGTGGTTTCTTCTGCAGGGGTTCAGAAGAATCTTTCCCTTCTTCATCCTCAGTACGAGGTCGCTTGAGGACCTTCCGGGTATATTCTAGCTTCGCAAATTCTGCTCGCACGCCTTCAACCTCATCTTGCGCCACGGGCAACCAGCGAGCCGCTCCTAGGGGTGAGGTGCCGATGTACATTTCCAACTTGGCCAGAACATCTGCCATGCCCTCCGCGATCAGAGGTGGAATCTCTTCTAGAGCTTGATCCCATTCAGAACGGACAGCGGGGCCTTCACGGATGATTCCGTCCAGTTCTTGCGCTTCGTTGATATTGCAGATGGTCACGAAGAAAACTCTCGAAGGTGTGTCTTTGATTGTTACGCGGATTTTCTCCCAATGACATTGTGCTCTAGTGAGAGGCCGATGTCCAACATATGAAGAAGAGGTTCTGCTTGCTTGAGTCTCACTACGCGCAGGAATGATTGATGGGCCATGGTGGTGAGGAACAATTTCGAGTGCATCGGATAATGGCTCTCCAACCATGTTCTCTGCCACAAATTCTTTTTCCCGCTCGAGGGGAGAGGCACCATTAATTTCTGCTGTTGGTTCGGTGACTGAAGGTGAACGGAGAACTTCCAGCATAACATGCTCCTCCTCAAACCGTTGCCCGGTTTGTGCTTCAACATCAGTTACCACTCGTGTACTCTCTGCTTCCTGGTCAATGATCCGCGGGAAAAGAGTCTCTGCTTTCAAGTCTAATAACTCATTAGGCTGCAATATATCGTGGGGTAAAAAGATTCTCCCACCTGTTGGGCCCCTTGCAGGACTAATGCCGTCCCCTGGCTCCTGCGCATCTTGGAGCACAGAACCTGAGTCGTACGCGACTCCCACGTTTTGTTCAGGACGATGTGGTACTTCGTTCTAAGTCAGGGCGAGGCTATTGAACGGGACAGGCGAACGCACCTATCAACGAAGGTTGGCTCACTGGCACACTGGTGATGTCGGAGACTTCCACAGGTGGGACCATCTCGACGTGATGGCCAACGGCTGGAGGCTGACTGAGTTCCAGGTGAACCGGAAGACGAAAATCATGTCTCGTCGGTAGCGCCAGTCCCTCAAACGGGTTCCGCATAGTGACAGGTTCCAACTCGGGATGAGAGTCCTCCAGATCATAATCTCCACTGAAGAGATCTGAAGGGGTGTTGGATAGAGGAGTGGACGCTCTTGCATCGAGGTGCCGGACGGGCATCGGAGTCACGTCCCTTGTTGGGACCATCCGACTGAAAACGGAGACATCGTCCTCTTCCTCATCGTCTCGCTCATCAATTTGTCCAGGAACTTCCGAGAGTGAAGACATTGAGACCGTCGGGAGGATCAGCGCTTGCGCTTTTTCAGATAGTGCGGGCGAAGGTATAAAGACTTCGCCACCCGTCTCACTCGGTTTCATTGCTGACAAAATATTGGCCACTTCATCGATATCTCCTTCCTCCTCGTCCTTCGGAGTTGTGTAATACTGGCCAGCAAGACTTACAGGAAGGCCAGATACTATCCCTTCGACGGATGCCTCATCCTCCGCGTCCACGAGCTCCACAATGCCAATAATGATACTCTCAGGGCACTCCGCCTTCAAAGGGGAGGGATCCTGAGTCGTGATATTGGCATTGGCCACGATCAATTCCTCACCGGATACCCCAGTATGCATGGATCTGGGAGGTTCCGGGATTAAGTACGGGAATGCCTGCTTCTCATCAGGGACTTCTTGGGACGCCAACGTTTCGACGTTGTTTCTGGGTGGTCGCGGCTCTCCAGGTCCTGCTAAAAAAAGGGGGGTAGCTTCAAGCGCAGGTACCAGAACTGCGAGAAGACTGCTTGCCAATCCAGAATCTCTCGGCAACAAGGAATGTGACTCATTCCGTCCAGCTTCCGGCACAGTGCCCGCCAATGAAGCATCAATCTCCTCAATAGCGGAAGGTAGGATTCGATGAGTATCGTCAATAGGACTTGACAGCGTCAAACCAAGATCAGAAGACAAAGCCTGTTCCTCGCTTCCAGGCCGCGTCGCAGTGGTGTCATGGTCCAGGCAATCCGTTTGAGAGCATGCATAGACAATGATGATACTGGGCGCGGAGGCGATCAGTTTCTCCTTCTCCTCGCATGACGACACAATCGTTTCTCCATCAAATGACGTCTTCGATGGGAACCCAGCATGAGCGTCTTCGCTCGGGACGCGTTCTGTGGCAGTATCGCCCGCCGTCTGGACACGCAAGTCGGAAGCTGTATATTCCTGAACAGCCGTTTTGAGGTTTGCTGTAGGTACCAATTCGGCTCCCTGTACTAAGCTTTCAAAAGACAAACTTGCAATCGAGGCGGTGCTCACTTCTTCCGTAAGCATTTCACCAAAAAGCAGCTCTTTGGTAGCCACTTCCTTTGTCGGCAATTCTCCAGCATGCGAGCCGTCCGATGCTTCACCAACCGGGGACATGGGTTCAATTTCCATGACATTACTAGAGGTGGTAGGACACACAGTTAAAACCGACAGACCTTCCACCGTGGGCTCGAGAGTACCATTATATGATTCAGTGGGGGATGCATGCGAGAATTGTGGGGGTGCATCCATATGGTCGACTAGCTGGGATGTGGGCATGTTCCATGCTGCCGCCGCCAACACGTCTAATGGGTTTGCGTCCGGCAGCGATTGGATCGGCAGGAATGTCGGACGCTGTGGTTCAACCCCCGACGACGGATGCCCGAATGCGTCAAAGCCGGCGAGCATGGCAGATGCAGGCATCGGAGTGAGTAAGGGACCGATGGGAGGCTCAGCGCTCGGAGGGGGAATGTGACCTTCATGGAATGGAGTTGGGCTATGTGGTGCGTTGAATAGAATTCTGTTTTCTACATAGGTTCCGTGGAGATCATGTCTTGGAGTCGGGTGCATGAACTGGGGAATCCACGAGGCATCGAGCCGCTCGGGAAATAGGACGTGGGAGCGGTTAGTCAGGAAGGTTCCAAGATTTTCGACTGCGGGGTTGTAGGATAGTGGAATGAACGGGGAAGAGCCAGAGATGAAAGTAGTTGCATCAGAGAGATGTTGGTCGATGTCCATCAAGTCACCGTGAGCGAAAACATTCTGCTCGTCACGTTGAGCATAGAGAGGGTGTTCATGTTGCCCCGGGAAAGTGAGATAATTGTCCTTAATATGTTCAGCCACCTGCGAAAAGGAAAGCGGCAAACATACTCCGTCCTGATAACGATGTCTATCTGCATCTCTGGGTTTCCGCCCATCATCCACATCGTTTCCCATGTTCTCATCCTCATCATCCACTATTGTGATGGCGGTATGGACGCTAGCTTCAAATATTTGGACCATTGGAGCATCTTGCGCCTGTTGGTGCAGAGGAACCCGGTTATCTTTAGCATCCAATAAGGACTTTGTTCTCGGCTCCCCGTCTCCAAAGAGGGGGTCGTCATCGAAATCGGCGCTTTGTATGGATGCCTCGTGTTGTTCATTAGACGCTGGTTCTTCAAGCTTGTCCGAGGACGACGACGTCTGTTCAGAAGGGGATCCGTGCATCTTATGACTGATCAATTCAGACAACGCTGTACTCTTGAGGATACTCACAGCCAAAACCGATTGTGCTGCAATATACTGAGGTGTTTTGAGATACGGATGCAGGAAGAAAGATGAGGAAGAGCCGTCATGAGACCTGCTTTTGAATGCCTCGGTAGCCTTGTACCTGCGATGCATTTCTTCTCTCTTGTATTTCTTGCGAATGGCCAAAAGACGAGTTTGCAGCTCACCCGCCGTCTCCTTAGCACTCTCCGCCACCTTAAACAGTGGTTCCTCCAGACGGCTAGTCGGCATTGTTACTCCAAGAAATCTCTGGGCCCGTCTGAGTGCTGTATATGAGCCGACTACCTCACCGGGTGGACCGATGATATTATGGCGGGCCATGGTCGACTTGTTCAAGAGAAGGTTAACCTGGCATCCAGGCAGCTTGCATCGCTTGGGTGGCTGTGTATTACCTAATCATCTCCAAGTCATTTACCCCTGGCACGCGTGTTATTCACCAAATACCTCTCATCATGACTGGTCTCGTCCAGGAGTATGCTTCGGATTCCGACGACAGCAGAGTGCCCACCCCCACTGTCGATGATGCCTTTGGATTATTTGAACTTCCGGCTGCAAAGCGGCAGAGAACAGACAATAGTCTGAACAACGCGGTGGGTGCAAGCATCGCTCCGGATGTATGTTCATCATTCACATATCTTAACTCTGTCTTACCGGCACTTTTCAGGATGCTCTAAACCAAGCATCCCTTGTCACAAGACCAACAGATACACAGATCATGGTCAACATCAAAATCGACGACATGCTTAGACCAGCTCAGGGCCCGGAAAATCCCTTTGCTGACCGCAGGTTCCAGAACCAAAATGCTCTAGCAGGAGTGGTGGAGGAGCAAGCTATGACTGAGCGTGACTTCCGAGCACAACATCTCTCGTACTCAATTTTGGGTTATGCCGCGAATCCATCCTTCGCCGCTGATGTGCCAGTTTTGGGATCTTTGGCTGCGGCAAAGAACAATAATTTTCAAACGCTGGACATGATGCGCGCCACCAGTGGCGAGCGTAAACAGTGGAAGCGCAAACGGAATGACCGAGGTGACCTGGAGATTGTGGATGGGGAGGGTGCGTACGCTGGGCCGTGGGCGAAATGGGCAGGCGATGAACAGCCTGAGATGATTGTTCCTGAGCAGGATGAAGAGCCAGAGGAAGAGAATCCCGAATTTGAGGCGCGGAAAATTAAGGCTAGACGGCAAGCCTTTGGCCAGGAGAAGTCGATCTTTCATGGCAAGTCCGTTGCAGATTATCAAGGCCGGACTTACATGCACCCCCCTGTCGATATCGCACCTAATCTTGCGCGCGAAGAAGGGAGTCAAGAGTGCTTCTTACCTAAAGAGTGCATCCATACGTGGACGGGTCACACTGGGGCCGTATCTGTCGTACGATTGCTTCCCAAGACCGGGCATCTGCTTCTCAGTGGTAGCATGGACACGAGGATCAAGGCAAGATTATTGGTATCTGATTCCAGAAGCAGTGCTAACTGTTTGACAGCTTTGGGATGTTTATCACGAGGGAAACTGTTTGCGCACATTTATGGGGCATCACAAGGCCATCAAGGATCTCACATTCTCGAACGACGGTCGCCGGTTCCTCAGTGCGTCACATGATCGTCTGATCAAGCTCTGGGATACCGAAACTGGCCAATGTCTCAAGGCCTTCTCAAATGGGAAGACACCGCATGTTGTTAAGTTTCACCCTGACGAGGACAAGCAGCATATTTTCCTTGCCGGTATGCATGACAAGAAAATTGTGCAGGTGCGTTGTTTATCGGCCCTGTCAGATATCGACTTGATTGTGTTCAGTGGGATATAAATACATCAGAAATTGTGCAGGAGTATGACCAGCATCTCGGTGCCGTCAATACCATCACGTTCGTGGATGAAAACCGGAGATTCGTCACCACGTCAGACGATAAGACGATCCGCGCGTGGGACTTCGATATCCCGGTTGTCATTAAGTATATCGCCGAACCTCATATGCATAGCATGCCGGCAGTCACACTCCATCCTACCGGTGAGCCTGGCCGTAGTTTTCCGTGGCCGTCTGCTGAGTTGCGAGCAACTACTAGGCAAGTGGTTTGCTGCGCAATCGTTGGATAACCAGATTCTCGTGTATTCGGCCGATACCTTCCGCCAGAATCGCAAGAAGCGTTTTGCTGGCCACTCAACAGCGGGTTATGCGTGTGCTGTTGGATTCTCTCCTGATGGGCGATGGATCAGCTCAGGGGATGCCGATGGGAGCATAGTATTCTGGGATTGGAAGACAGGGCGGCTTATGAAGCGGTTGCGTGCCCACAGCAAGGTTGTAATATGTCACGAGTGGCTTCCACACGAGACTGTAAGTGTTGCGCGCTTGTCGCTTCACCTTTGCTAATTTCCTTGTAGTCCAAAGTTGTGACAGGGTCTTGGGATGGACTTATCAAGCTATGGGTGAGTTCAAGCCGACTCCAACCGAGATTCCAGCTGAGGGTTCGGCGCAGGACTAATGTATCTCTGACAGCACTTCACCCCTTCCGGTCTTCTGTATTCGAAGTATTCCATCTACTTCGATTGCTTTCGTCAGTCAGGTACAATGTTGGTGGTACCAAGTAGAGCCGTACGTGAAGGGATTGTTTCCCCGATACAAGAAACGAGATGACAAAGTCGTCATATCTCCGAATGCGGTTTGATCCTCCAGTGTTCCCCGATGATAATGAAGCGCAGAACGGGCTTGTGTAATCCATACCTTTAACCTCGAACCTGCTATGCCTATGTACCCCAATACGCGTGTCGGGACTCAGTGTCCGCATGATGAACATTCGTACTTTGGCCACCTTCGCATGAACAACGAAAGAGGAGTTGGCCCCTCAGCTGACTCCAATTGGAGGGATGCGACCGCGAGCCCTGTGCCTTGTGATGTACTTAACGTTGCGCAGAGATCCTAGACCACATGTTATGGAAATGGTTGCTTTTGGCGTCATCCTGGACATGGGATCACTCCTCTGATCAGCTCTGTATTCTTTTTTAAAAAATTGTCCATAGAGCATCCCGTGCCGCTGTTCTTGTGCACGGCCGGTGTTTCTCCCAATTTTTAGCACAGGATTAGCACCGCGGATATATCTCGCTGCAGAAGAAGGGTGCTTATATACAGATCAAAGCATGGCAGGGAGGTACTGCGAGCTTTATACTGAAAGGTGGAGGGAAGGGACTCTTCCGAGGACACAAGCCGAGGAGGTTGAGGAGAGCGGCAGTACTGCCGGTTGTACGCTAGTACCTAGTAAATGAAAAGCTGTGCTTGCATCAGAAGATCATGGATGTGTCTAATACGCAGCTTTCGGGCCGGACATATGTAGGATCCCCGGTAAGCGTTCCAACTCGAGGAAGCGGGATACCGGCTTCCAATATATCGGCTCAGCGGTTGAAACATGCATAGAGACAAATATACACTGCAGCTTTCTGCCAGGCTCCAACGGACGCAGCCCTCGTTAGCGTCACCCAGTAACTGATGATCATGGTGGCTCTTTGATCGGCATCGCTAGCTCACTTGAGAAACTTGTGACTACGTCGGTCTTCTGAACTGATTTCATCCAAAGGTAGGATGTGCCTTACCATCACCTCTTCTGCAACACGTTGACGTAGATGCCAACGTTTATCAGCGAACATATGGTTGCACCAGCATATGTAATGAAAATCACAAGAGGAATCACTTTTTGAGATAGTGGCCATTTCTGAGGGAAGGATCACTGTCGGCATGTGAAGAGAAGAGGACATACGGGCACAGAAAGCGGAACATGTGCAAGCGCTCCAGCAAGCCGCTTGAGGCACATGGAGGCTTCCGACTGGTTTCCATATACATTGTGCAACGTAGCAAGCTCTCAACCACGCCCCCCTATAAGACGTGGGCCTTCTTCTGTGAGTGGGCGGCGCACTCTTCGCCAGCTCATATCCCTCGTCGTTGCCCACTCCAACATCCTCCTCGTCCACAATGAAAGGGACGCTCGTCACCGTATTCATCGCATCATTACTCGCCACCACTTTGGCAACGCCCCTCCCTGTGGAGCCGGCTGCCAACATGGCGGCTCGAGAAGGACCGAACACCGATAGTATGTTCCAGCCTGCCTGGATCTCGAACTCCAAGCGAAGCGACCCCGGACGTGACAGTCTCTATGAACCAAGTTGGTCCTCGGGTGCCAAGAAGCGCGAGGCTGCTCAAGGTGACGAGTTATATACCCCAACTTGGCAGTCCGGTGCCAAGCGCAACGAAGTGCAGCACTGAGCTCAGGTCTAGTAAGTCCAAATTTCCGACTGTCATAACAGCAGGGTTTGACCTTTGTGTGGCCCAGAAGCCGTAGATAACCCTAAGAGCGATCTTGGCGCTGAGTGACGAAGATGAATGAGACAGAATGTGTCGTTTTTGTCGTATGAAAAATCGGCCTGTGGTTGAAGGCGCTTACGCTCGGGTTATCTGACTCGTGTTTATTTTACTTTGAAGCATGTATCAGCGTGATGTTGAATCCTTCTTTTCTTCTTCTTTTTTTGACTTGTTTCAATGATTCCGCCTGATTTTCTCTTGTCATGGTCGAGACTGATATCATCTTGTCATCAACAGAATATATATATAGATATAATCGACGGTGAGTTTTCGATCGGGGTCCAACTTTGAACCCTCCCAGTGTAGAGCTTCTTATTGCCTTGCCAGCGCCCAGGCGGTTTTGTGCACGTGAGAGCATTATACACGGGACAAGCACGCAGCGTTGATGGGACCTTGGGCACTCCCGTTCGTTCTCTCGGCATTCCCTCGACAACATGTTACCAACCCCAGACCTTTCCCACTTGACTCAAGATGATTTCACAGTCGTTTATGAACCTGCCGGTACAGCCAGACATTGCGTGACATGAATAATAATAAAAAGTAGAACCAGAAGACACCTTCATTCTCCTGGATGCGCTAGAGCAAGATGCCGATCTCCTTCAAAAGACTGATCCAGCTATCAGCTTGGAAATTGGGTTAGTTGATTTTCACGAAAGGATCATATTGAATGCCAATGCATATAGGTCTGGAAGCGGTTGCGTTAGCGCCTTTATTGGTCAGATTCTTGGGAAGCGCAGTGGTACGAAAGAAGTCACCCGACAGTCTGGACTTGTGTTGACGGTTGAGATGGTGGGAAGCGTATTTCTGCACTGACATTAATGCTGATGCAGGACGATGTACTATGGCAACGGGAGAACAGAACAAGGTATGACAGCGCTAGGAATCCTGTTGGCTGCCCATGAAGCTGATCCTCAGGTTCTCCTGAATGTCGTTCTCACGTCGCTAGTGGGAGGCCTTTTGCCACGTCTCCTTGGCAACGTGGATCTGCTTATATTCAACCCACCTTATGTGCCAACGGATGACGAAGAAGCTTCACAGGCGCAGATGGGTCGATCCATCTCAGGAGCATGGGCGGGCGGTGCCCATGGAATGAATACAACGCAAGAAGTACTTCGAATAATCCCTGTGAGCGATCATGTTCTACTGTAAACCGAGAAGTTCATGGAAAGCGAAGACTTTACTGTCCCAAAACGGGTTATTTTATCTAGTTGCTGTCCGCGAAAATAACCCTGTCGCAATTGCTCATCAAGCCAAGACCGAGTTAGGATTAACATGCGACGTATGTCATTCCAAGCGTAGATACCGTGGAATGGTTGACGCAACGTTAAGTAGATCATCTTAGAAAGGAGAGCGGGAATAGAACGACTGTTCGTCCTCCGCTTCTCCCGCAAGAACAGAAACAACAGCAACATATTCAATCAATAGCATCATTCTGATTGTTGTGCCATACATGGATGTGACGGTCAATCGGGGTAGCCGTGCTACTTCAAAACACGATCAAGATATTCCTCCCAGGTGGAAGGCTCTCTGCCCAATAGCCACCTCAATATTCGGGCTGCCGGTCAATCCCCATGTGTCGTAATAATACAGCATACCTGGCAGAAAGATTCAGATGTAACGCTGAATTTACTGGCTGCTACCTACGTTTGAATGCTTCTTGGGTGTACGGATGGGAGGAGAAATGGGTAGCGGCCTGCTCCATGGCAATGCGCTCCACTATGACCGGCTTTCCTGACTTTCGTCCGATGATCTCTGCGACCTCGTTGTAGCTGCCAACGCAGCCAAGCAATTCGTAACGCGCCATATTGTGGACTTTTGGGTTTTGGACAACTTTGAGAACGACTTGTGCAAAGTCATTTAGATCAATGAAGCCCTGTATGGTAGCCGGAGAGTAGGAAAGACCAAGCGCTCCGCTGGAAAGTACCGGTTCAAGTGTCACATTCTGCATGAAATGAGTAGGCTGCAGTATCGTCCATGGAATACCAGATTCGATGAGATACTCCTCGATCCTTGAATTAAATGAGATGGTGGTCTACATATCTTCGGAATTATATATCATACTCTAATTTGACCTGGCCGTGGTCAATAAAAGAGTTTTAGAGAAAAGACTTTGAAGCAAATGCTATCGCACCTTGTGATGCACCATCTTCTGTCTGAGTGGATGGAGGACACTGCTTAAAATAAAATGCCCAACATTGTGGCATCTTGCTGCATCGATCACCACGGTACCACACGCCGCTTCTTGAGGATGCATTGGCGGAACTGAGTTCTCATGAGCGCTGGGTATACGTTATGCTGATGTTTCATACCAATGTGGATGACTGTATTCACGCCATTCATGGCTTCATCCACGGTGTGTCGCTTCAGAAAGTCCCCAATGACAAAATTGCCGGGGGTCAGCTTGGGAAAGGCAGTAAGGAGCTCATTAGCGGAGCCCTGTGAGTGCAAAAAAAGTCGCAGCCTGAATCCTTGTTCCATCAGAACTGGAATGATGTGTCTCGACTGCTTCCCTAGACCATATCACAGTTGAGATCTGCATTATGACAGACGCCAGTGGGACTGTACCATTCGCAGAGGTAAGGAGGATCAATGGAGCAGGGGAGTCCATGTTGTGAACCTAATGACAAGATGATGCCTGGCAATATGCGTGGACTGGAGTGATGGTTGGATTGCAAGAGGAAACGAGGCATGGGACCTCACCACCAAGCGGACACTACATGCAAGCCTTTGCTGTGTGAAGTCGTCCCGAGGGGGAAGCACAAGGACAGGGTTTCGTCATATCATCTCTTCCACACATTTGTTATAGGGTCAAGCTGATGACACATCAACCGGCACAATCATGTGCCGGCCGATACGATGCCAGGGATTGGTGGTATTCAACCTACCATGCACATTTTCTAGTTCTTCCATCTACCGTGATGTCAAGCACGTCGCCTTCCAAGATTGGAGCGACTCACATCTTCACCAGCCCATCCTTGCCACCGCTGACAATCTTGTCTCTGACAAAATCCACGCAGTAAACCTCGTCGTCATGCCCTGGCAAATCCGTGTGTAGCTTCAGGGATTTCATCGACCAGATCTAATGAGTACAGTCAATTGTGCTCTCGCGTCACTAACCACGGCACTCACTTTAAGCGTCGAGTCCTTGGATGCGGTGACTAGAAGACGAGAGTCCGCCGACCAAGATAGTCGATACACAGCTGCAACGTGCCCCCTCAGCGTTGTAACAAATCTGCGTAACAATGACATGAGAGAGGATTCTTCCTACAGTTGGCCACTAACTTTCCCGTTCTACCGTCCCATATTTTCACAGCGGCATCCCAACCGGCGCTGGCCGCCCATCGGCCATCAGGACTGAATGCGACGTGCGACACCTGTCGTTGATGCCCGGTCAGTCGCGCAAGAGGTTTGGGTCTCTTCCCATGAGTTACATCTCCGGCCATACTGGACGATGGTAGCGAGTACAAGAACAATGTATGATCGTCGGATCCGGTAATAAGCATTTCAGAGGAATTGGATGTTACTGCCTCGTAACGTTTGTACGCCCTTTCCTTAGCTAGTTCATCGTATTAGGAATTGCTGAAGTACGAGTGATCGAAGCAAACCTTCTGCGTCCGACTTCGGGACACGATTCGTGTGATCGAAGGGCCCCGTACGAGTAGCAAAATCAGTGTTGAGTGTGAGTGTGGTGACCCAGTGCGCATGATCTGTGAGCGACCAAAGGCATTGACCCTTAACAACAAAATGGTTCTGTGAGCAAGACGTAAGAGAACTTATGACTGGGACTCACTCGGTCTGCATCCCAAACTCTCACGGTTCGGTCGTTGCTCGCGGTATATAGCCTTCCGTTTCCAACACCACCCCATCGAACGACATTGACACTAGCGGTGTGCCCGCCCAAAGTATATTCAAGTGTTCGTAATCGTGTTGACCAGACGCGCACAGTTCCATCTTTGGAAGAGGACGCCAATCGAGGGTTTGTCGGGTTTCTGCGAGTCTTAATGGGAAACACCGAACAACAACATGGAAATCAAATACGTACATGTGAACCGGCTCCCATGCCAAGCTGGTCACCCACTTGGTGTGACCAGTCATGGCATTTCCGATACACTTTCCCGTTTTGGGATCCCATAATCGGACCTGTTACAAGGTCAGATATTGTGGATCGAATTCATGAATACTCGCGTACAGCATTATCATGACCTCCAGTGGCTAGGAGTCGTTGCCTCGGTTCCCATTCCACACACAGCACCCAACCGCGATGGCCTTCTAAGGTGTGACTCGGCGTCTCCGTCATCAAATCCCAAAGGCGGGCGGTGTTATCCCCGGACCCGGTAGCTAGCATCTCGCCTGTGGGCGAGAAAGCTGCACATAGAATGGCAGCTTTGTGTCCTATAGCATCATCCAGTTAGATGGCAAATATTCGCAGGCGAGAGTGAAAGAACATACCAGACAGAGTGGATGAGCACCGAGTGGCTGGTCTCACTCTAAAAACCGCCTGAGGGGAGCACCTAATCTTGATCACATCTTCAGGGGTAAGAGGTGTGCCTGGCAGTGATAGAATATCAACCAGGATGGAGGTTGAGACGATCACCCGTGTGGGTGATCCAGCCTTTGTTTCGGGCAGTGCCACATGCAAGTCAAACGGTGTTGGCTCATCTTCCTTCATAAGCCTATGAGTATGAGGTGACACTTCTTTGGTACTACGTACAGAATTAGATAACTGATTCACTAAAGATTCCAGGTGTGCTCGAGGAACATCGGCTGGCAGCGAAACCGGGGGTGCAAGGGAGTTGCAACCATCGTCGGACAAAAACTGAACAACAACGTTCGGTATAGACACAGACTGACTGCCTCCTTCGATGGCTGATGGGATGGCATGCGACTGCTTCTGTCGCTTCGGAGGTGGCAGCAGTGTAGACATTGGTGACTGTAAAGACCGAGAGAAAAAATAATATTTGGATTTACCAAAATTGTTCAGGGTCCAAAGATGAAGGCAGTGCAGGCAACATGTGAATGTAATGCATATGACAACGTTATGCTCTGAGCGTTCTCCTCATCTTAGAGGGACTCGCATGAATCCCAATATTCCTCTCTCGGGCCATTTCCTGCATCTTTTCTTCTGTAACAACATTTGTTCTTCCCATCATTCTCCTAGAGATGTAAGCGATATCATCTTACATACAGGCATGCTCTATTTTACCTCTTTTTTTTCTTCAATCCATCGCCGACATCGGCTTCATCAAGAGCAACTCCCATTACAGAGATAATGGCACCGCGTGGCCCGTTGTGAGGGATGACTAACCCCTCTCCTGTCTTCTCCGCCTTCATCATTGCGGTCCCATTGGAGCTTTCCGTAATTGCTGTGGTTGTGATTAGCTGCTTCGATGTGTTTTGAGGTTGTTTGTTTGGCGCTTCAAATTGCAGAATGCTGTTCCACGAAGCGTCATCTTCAGACCGTACACACAGGATTGGGGTCTTCCGGGCACATGAGGGCCTAGTACCTGCGGTTACCGCTCGTTCACTGTTCTCCTTTCCAATAGAACCACGGACTGCGATCCCTGCGGAAGCGCTGCTTCTTCCTCGTCTTTGTGCGGAAGATGTACGCCTAGCCCTTGAGCGGGTAGGACGAGAACGGGACATGGAGCTTTCTGAGGAATTCGCTCCGTCATCGCTAGGCACCCATTCGTCAGACTGCGCCTGAAAGCAAGCATCTCCAGATTCTTCTTGCTCCGACAACTTTGAGTCTGACAATGTGTTCTCCTCGTTACTGTCATGATCGTTTATTCCACAGTCGATGTAATGGTCGTCATCCAAAAATATGTTTGACTCTTGACCGAAACTTATCTAAACCAAGAATCCAGATCATGTCGTCAAAACGATCAAAGCCGACTTACGAGCTGATCTTCTACTTCGCCAACACTGTCGTCCTGATCCTGGGACATTCTCTTGGTCGAGATCATCATGGCACGGTTGACCAGATCGATTTTGCTATCGATCTTTGCTTCATTTTGTTCGGCCTACATGAGCAATAACCCTTCAGCAAGAAAGCCACACAAAACATGCCAGACTGACGTCGAATATCACTCGCTCGCTAAACATGCGCTCCATGGCACGCATCCGACCTTCCATTTCCCGGGTGACCTCTTCCCGTGTCTCACTTTCAATGACCGCGCATCGCATTTCAGCTTGATATAACTGAGGGAGTCCATCAGTATCCGTTACCTGTCAGAGATGGAGCACGTGCCTTCTGGCGCATGTCCTCGAGTTGCTCAAAGAGGTGGGTGACCAGAGGGTCTTCCGGCTCTGCCTCATCGCTCTCATCTTCCGAAAGTTCGGTTTCGTCGACGTCCTCGGGCATCATCTTCGGTACGTCGCTGCTCTGAGCCAACCGTGCCAAGCCACTTGAGTTAGTCTGCCCCGTTTTGACCTGAGTAGCTAGGGCAGAGAACCGCATGACGTTGACAATTTCATCGAAGCCGCCGTCGTACGGGTTAACATTCACAACCATGACCTGTTGCGTTTCAGCATCCATTCGCTCGCTCCCCACCCCCCACTCCGCCCCAACCTCAACCCCAGAAGATATCAAATACTCACTGCTTTGCCCTCCCCAACAAAAAAGTCTTGGAACAATTCTGTCAGCTTACTATGTCGGAAAGGAACGACACCAAGTTTCACAGGCCCTCCACCATGAGAACCCGCCAACGCAAGCTTCCGCTGATTGCTTCTCAGGACTTCCATGCACTGGCCTAGGACCATGAGAGACTTATTAATGGAGCCAGATTCTTTCAGACGATCTCCTGTATCAGCTGAAGTAAGTGTATGTTGTAGCTGCAGAGAAGGTCGTACCTGTTGCTAACGTTGCCTTTGATCTCTCCGAGCCAGCTAGGTCAACAATGCTAAGTCGTGAATTGAAAATTGAGTCAGGATCCTGCATTGGTGGTCAGATTTACATCCAGTGGGTGTCAGATGTCTGTCTCCTTACAGCGGGTCGTCCTTTGTGAACTCGAACAACTCTGACGCTGAATATGGCATGACTTCTGCTGCTGCGGTGGTTGATCTTTGTCCCAGATACTTGCCGCGCTGTGAGCCCCGTAGAGAACGCAGTGTGAGCTTCCTGTGACTCATCAGGGATGAACTAACCTCAAACGTGAGAGTGAACATACCGTTACAGTCCGCACTCTGACTTCCCTCAGACCATGAATGTATTTTCCACCTCCACATGGATCAGATTTTAGGGCCAGGGGTTTGCGTTTGATCGTTCCGGAGGTTGTATTGGGATCGAGGAGGTCGAAAACCTGACCTCACTTGTCAGAACACGACGTGAGTGCGAGGGAACATGCGACTTTTTCGTTGTAGACCTCTGCATAGGACACAAATATGGAATATGTGTAGTTTCGATCCACTTTAATGGCACCTAAAAGCATATACCTTAGCAAAGCACGATTTTTGTTGGAGACACTGAAGCGACCATCTGAGGAGCCTTCCGAATCCAACCCACTTCCCAGCGATTCCCGAGCGTCTTGATCTCTAAACACAGACTTCCCGGCCATTTTCAGCGGAATGTCTCCCTGCTGCCCCTTTACGTTAGTCATGACGCTTCGAAGAACCCTCCAGATCAGCCCCTCTTTCCCCTGCCCTCTGCCACCCTGAATGGTCCACGTCTTTCCGGAACCACTGATTCCATAAGCAAAAAGCAGCCCATTCTCCCCTTGAATTAGGTCTTGAACAAGGGGAAGTCCGACTTGGGAAAAGAAAGTTGCTTGCGAGGTTGTAGGTGAGAAAACATGACTGAATGTGTATGAAGTGGCAGGTCGGCTCAGGCGAAGGCTTGGTGTGGGTGGGATTGTGAGGACTGTGGTATCCGACTGGGCTGTCAAATATGGGGAATGGGTTGGTTGATCTGGCGCAGGACGTATTTTCAGATATGCCTACATGAAGTAAGTAAAACGACAGGGTGAAAAGGTGACAAAGAACTCGCTTTGAGACGTTCTCTGTCCTCATTCCTTCGTTGATTGGTCGTGCATTCGATACTGAGCGCTAATGAAGAAGGCCCCCCGCCACAGATCCGGGGTGCTGAGATAACGCCTTCATCTTCACCAACCTGAGGCAATGGGAGAGGGGTAAGATCTTGCATCTTGTGGGATCTCATGGGCACCACCAGGGTCGTCGTTGAGGATGCCTTGTTGCGGCTCGATGCGCGGGTGCTGGGTGTCCTGCGTGGTACAGCCATATATAACAAGCAAGGCAGACAATACAAGTGACCAAATGTCCCGACGAACTATTCCAAGAAAAGTTGTGAAGGATTGTGGGTGTGTGTTGTAAACTGAGCGACGCGTCGTTGAATTGTACGTGGTTTTTTGACGCGTTGAATTCGCGGACACGTGCCCAGACCCCGTGACACAAGACGGGAAATAAAATGATTAACACCCATAATGTAGCTTGAGAGTGTTGGACAATATTGCCGTTCCGTTGACAAGATACCACCACGTAATTGACAATGGTGGAGCGTATAATCTAGAAAACTAACGATACACTACAGCACTTCAGCACATACACAACTAATAGGCAACTTCTTCATTTTGGTTCTTCGAGGCCCTGGGAATTGGTGAGTGAGTGATCGAACATCGCTTCACAGGGAGCGCACCTAGCGTTGAGAAGCGAAAGATATAACGACCAGAACACTCCCAGGGTTGCCTGGAATGGTACTCGATAGCTGCTCGACAGGCTGGGTTAGATGATAAGTGTGAAATAGTCGAGCTGCTTACGGCAGCGGCATGTATCGAAAATTGATCAGTTGGGCGGCTGGCCAAACCTGCCAATTGGCGATCAACGCAGACCAATACATGTCTTTGTACTTTTTCTTAATTTGTTCCAGAGTTTTCCCTTCCATCACGCCCATCGAACCGGTGAAGATCACAAGCTGCGAACCCGTCAGTGATGGCGCTGACTGACCTAACTGGACGGTTCTACTCCGACAGGTGCCCTTAGAGGAGTCAGCACCGGCACCTACCCGCACAATACATACTCACATAATGATCTGGTCGCAGATAACCCTCTTCGCCAGGGATGACATGCTAACCGTTGAAATCTTCCCTCCGACACTGCGCAGAGGAAATGTGTGCTCTAAAAACATGTTCCAACGACCCAATAATGGCCCCATCCCAAATCCGAAGGCAAAAAAGCGCAGCGTTCGGAAAGGGTCATAATGACGAGCTGTCGATGAATTGTCATCTTTTGAAAACTGGGGTAATATCATAGGCAAATGGCGTTCAGTTGTAGGTGACTCCTCACAAGCATTTCCGCATATTGAGCCTTCGACTGAAATTCAATTCGGGCTTCAACACTCAGAGTTGTGAAGGACACACCACTGTATCGGCGAATGCAGTGAGTACTCCGTTGGTTACTGTGCCAGGGGCCGATCAACCGAGTGGGGGGATAAGCCATGCTGGTATACTCAACTCATTAAGGTGCGGCTTGGGTTCCGGTTGAAGGAGTCATTGTACAGTCTGAACGCTGCTGCCATAGTAGAAAGAAGGAAAGGAAAGCGATAAGAAAAGAGGGGGCATGGCCAAGTGCCTGCCCGCAAATGTCTATGGATGATCGAGATTAGTGCCAGTCGGGAGTGAGTCAAATGAAAGACACCAGGGTCATGGCCTACGTCATGGTTTCGCCACATTCTGTGGGTCCTGGATCTGGCGCTCAGCTGCGTAGGTCTTATTCAGAAGAAATATTCTTTTGGAATTACCATGACGTATAAGTACATGTGACATGAGGAATGCAAAAAAGAACACGGCTACGCAGAAAAACCTGGCGCTGAATTACTGTATGTGGATGAGGAAAAACAGGCTATTCCTGAAATGAAAGAGAGTGCGTGTAAAGTGCAGAGACCCTGTAAGATGTTCCGAGCTAAGGAGGAAGAAATATCTCGTCCTCCACCGAAGTATTGTGTACATGTCATGACAACCCTTCCGGAGGGATCTGATACAGCCGTGGAAGCGTCTCTGAAGCGTCCAGAGCTGGAAGGAGGAATTTGAGTTGTTATCGAACATGTGACCAGCCCAGCACTCACTTTCAAACGACACAGTGTTCCCCCACCATTCCAGTACAAGGGTACCGTTTTTTGGGAACTGGAGAATAAAGAATATAAGAATTGTCGATATGATTGTCCCTAGGAAATACGTTAATGAGGTGTCACGCAAGGCCACGAGGAAATTCTCCACCTGAGTCAAGAGCGGAGCTCAGGATATAATTGTACTTGGTCCACCATTGGAAGAATCTTCGTCGGATCACATATTCTGGTCTTGTCTTAGCTGCAAACAATGATGGTCCATGGCACCCAGGGACTTACGAAAAATGAATCCAACAACGAACCACGAGGAATAGTTTATACCAGTGGCAGGTGGAAGGAGGGTAGGCGCGATTAGTAAAACAGGTATATTGACGCTCTTCCAGAAGGAATCCGGATACTTCCGAGCCAGAAGCCAAAAGGGTAACGGCGCTAGAGTGCCGAAGACAAGAGCCGACCACACCATTGGATAATACGGCGATGAAGGCCCGAATTGGCGAATAGGTCCAATCAGGCCCCTTGAAACAATGAATTAGGATAGGAAGTATCAAAAGCAGCAAACGGATAGGCGTACCAGAGCACGGAGGCAGTGAAGAATACAGAATTCCTAGGGCAGGTGAGATTGTGGGCTTGAGTAGGTTGACAGATATCTGGAACGGCGCTGAAGAGCCATGTTTTGACTCCGACTTGGATAAGAGCAGCAAGGAATGTTGCCACTACTTGAGCTAGTCTTTGTGAGCCTGGGTCCTTGTTGCCAATTGGAATCACATGGACATACCTACAAAGGTCGCACGAGGCGGGATTTTAATGTAATGCCCAAGTTTGAGATCTTGGACGAAAGCCAGTGTGTTCTCCAGTGTTTCCAGCGAGTACGCCTTGAAAATCATGTTTGCCACAGGCTTGCCACTCAAGAGCACGCCGGCGATGGACTCTGATACTAAGTTGATGCCGAGCTATGCGAAGTCAGACGAGATTCGAGAGGTGCACGGAAAGAGCACTTACCCCCAAACCAGTGAGCGCGTAGATAAAGCCTGCAGGAATTAGGTACACAATCGGCACAAGAATTGATAACATTAACCCCCAGAACGGCAGTTCTGTTGGCCAGACATATGCGGCGACGATGGCAAGTAACCAAAAGAAGACTGCAAACACTGCATACCACCAGTGCGGAACTTCGGGGTAGCGCTTCATGAGTTTGTAATGGATGTCCTCCTTCTCGACATTAACGCGGCGGATACCATTCCAAACGGTGGCTCCATGATGCAAAATTGTGTGCGAGATTGCGGCAGTGGAAAGAGCGAAGGAAAAAATGTACAGGACCGCGAACGTGCACGGCAGCCACACCGGGGAGTACAGGTTGTATTTCTCCAAATCGAACTGCATCTGGTCATTGACAACCATGGAGACATTATAGACCTGACCGAATTTGTCGTAAGAGAACGGTGACAACATAGGCAGGTAGGGGAAGTTCCATATCTAGTAAATTATTATTATATATATAGAGTCGAAGACGACAAGGAGAACTCACGTTCGAATAATAGAGTGCAGGGGCCAACACCCAAACGGATAACAAGAAGCCGATGCCTGTGTGCAATTCTGCCCACCATGGCATCATTAACGGCGACGCAATGTACGCAATCTGAGTCCAATCGAAAGTAATAACACCCATGCCAAGGCCGCTGACTGTACCGAAGAGTTGATTGACCACGACGTTGTTGGGCCAGATCCAACACACCCATGAGAAATACGACAGGGCATTAAACAAGTAGCCTGTTATACTGTAAGAGCATGATGTCTTGCGTTGAATGAAGCTCGACGTACCTGGCACAAAATACCAGAAAAATGCGGCTGCTCCAGCAATCATGAAAAGTTTATACCGGGAGACGCCCTGCCCCGAGTCTCCCAAATCCTCTTCGGCATGCAAGGTGTTGAGGAGAGTCGATGCAACGAGATTCTGCGGCCATATCATACTGGCAGGCCAGACGAGGAAACGGCGACATAAGCCAGCAAACCCAAATCCGGTCAATTGGGTAGCCAGAACAATAAGAAAGTTGAAGCCGACTCCAAAGTTTGCAGAATAATACATTTCTGATGTGACGATGACGTTCATGGAATAGGGGGGGGCGACCGCAACATTTGCCATGATTAGAATAAGCGCGTGTTCCTGTAGCAAAGTAGGCGAGAACGTTCAGAGAGTACTTTAAAGACTCATACCTTCACGTTGAAGGGACCAGGATTAAGGGTAAACTCCCAACCACCAAGCCATTTGGGAGCCTGGTATGCCCTCATGGGCAACGCGTATGCCATGATCTTGCCAATGGGATACGATAGCAGCCTGACGGCGAAAATGAGTGTGGTGTAGACCTCAGTGAAAGGTTAGACTCACAATATCAGGCTTGGGCTGATGTACGGGCTAGGGTAGCGAAAATTAAAAAACGTGTTAAGCGCAGCCGAGATGATGCACATCCCTAGCCCCATCGTCCACAAGCGGAAAGTTAGGACAGGCATATCGGGATCGTCGATGTTGGATACCGATGCGCGTACTTCCAGGTAAGGAGAGTCTTCGTCCTCCGGTTCTCCATCGTCTCCTATTGTGGACGTCCTACACCACCATCAAGACACGACAGAGGGAGGAGTTGATAGAAACATACTTCAGACTGCCTTCGCCTCCAAACATATCCTCCACCACATAGTCCAGGCTGTCGGCAGTAGCCTCAGTTGCTTTCTTTCCTCCGACAACAGGGCGCCCGTCACCGGACAGCGAGACATGAACCTCATCGGCCCCACCCAATGTGCCGCTCTCCAGGGCGGTAGATGATGTTGTTTCATCGCGCATGGTAGCTAGTCTGGGAGCCATTCGTGCAGTCTTGGGCAAAGATCGCATGCGATAAGCTTCGCCTGCATCGCTACCGAGAGGATAAGACAAGGTGGTGCTAGTACTTGGCGGAGAGTTGCGTTGGCCGGGGGAAGACCGTGCTGCCTGAATAGAATCCTCGGATTGGACAGCAAAGTGGGCCGCGAGCGGTTGGGAGGAAGCCAGCGGTGTGAGCGGGGTAAGGGCACCGTATGTCGTGGTTGAAACTGGTTGTCGTCTATCCACGGACTGAGAGAAGGGGGAGATAGGGAGGGAGGACAGGTGAGGAGCGGGGGCACGCGAGTAAAAGGCATTTTGGTCCGGTGTTGGGCTGGTTGGAGCGCCGGTCTGCGATGTAACGGCTGATGTTTTGCTCGTGGGCGAAGTGGGCATGATTGCAGAAGACACAGGACGCGATCCAGCTTCCGGTACGCCAAATGCAAAGACATCCTCATCATCCTCTTCCTCTTCATCGTACTCATCGTCATCATACTCGTCTATGACGTCCTCCGGCCAATCGGGATGACCATAATGCTGTCGATGATCGTCGAAACCGTCACCCTCCTGAACGTGCGACCCCCACCCGCCTGAAGTGAGGGGTCGGGACAGGGAGGCTGCAGTTGCTGGCCTGCGTGATCCGGTCTGTGGTCTGTGGGGATGTGCGGACATGAGGGGCGAGAGAGTTGACAGTTTGAACGCGATGAATGAAGCAAGGGGGCACGGGCGAGTAATATGAACGAAGCAGGGGGGTGATCCAAGGGGCGGCTTGCGGGTTTTGTTGGAATAGACTGGTGTCAGGGAATGAAGCCGGAGAGACAGAGAGTTGAGAGAGAGAGGGAGGGGGCTAGACGGTGGGAGACATGATTGCAATGGCGAACGAGACAGAGCAGTCACTGAAAGAGAGGGGGGGCACCGATGGGGTTGTCCACCTACCTTCTGTGCCTCTCTTCCTTCTTCCCGCCTGGGTGCACTGCTGGATGGGATCAGTACCGTCCCTCTGCACCCTCCCCACCCACAAGGACGTAAATTGCTCCCGCCATTTCCCTTTAACTTTGCCCCCTTTTGCACACCCAGCACGCCTCCTCCGCTCTCTCATTCGCTTCCGTGTGTTAGGTCCCTTTTCTCCCAACCTTACATACCGTCACGCCGAACCGCAATTGGCCTTTCAGGGGCCACGTTGCCCATCTTACGCCCGCATTCTTGTCCCGGGTGCTCGTCATGAACGCCGGGCAGGGGTTGACAGGCGAAAAGGGCGCGGCGGCAACCAGAGACTGATTCCGGCACCCCTCGGGCATGAGCAGATATAACTCCGAACCGCGTATGATTGGTGGAGACCACTTCCATCATCACGCACCGCAATCTTCTTGTCAGGCACGCATTCTATCCACCCTGCTCCGTCAAAGGGCCGTCCCTGTCCTCTGGCACATTCTCCTTTCGTCCTTGCGCCCTTGACAGCCTCACCGCCGGTTCTCCGCCGACTGTAATGTTGATTTGTCTTTTCTTGAAGACGCCCACTCAGGGAAGCCAAAAACGAAGCACTTCCAACCGTTGGATATCTGACTGCTGAGCACCATCTTGTCTCTCCACTTATCCACTTTCTGCTGTCGTCCCGCTGCTCAACCAGCCACCTGCACATATCCGGCTGGACATCAATGTCAATGTCTGGCTTTTATCAACAAGCCAGCCTCCCCTTGGCACGGGAGCCTTTCTGTTTGACTCGTACACATATTACTACAAATCCATGCCTCACATGTGATGAAAAGAGAACCCTCAATCCGTAATCAACCTCTTTCCTGTTTCAAAACTCCCATTCTCCATTGTTGGGGGGAGGAGTTCTTACGTCCTGTCGTTCCAATTGTCCCCTTCGGCAAGGCCTCTCAGAATCATGTTCTTGTGTTTGGTGGTATAATTCAGTCAGCCACCAGGTCATTAGCCTGATTGTTGCCAGCAATCAATGCATCATAATGAGGCATGGGTCAACCAGCCATCACATTGCTTATATTTTGCATGTTGTGTGTGACTGTGGGGTGCAGGTCACTTACTGTTGCAATGATGCTGTCTCAACCAATTGGCAGGTAAGTTCAGGTCCTGCATGCATTGCCTTGCTAGCTGACTGTTTCACATATTGTCACTGCTCCATGGAGGCCATGCACTCTGGAGGTTGACCAGGAATTTTAGACAAGAATCCCCAGAGAGTAAAAGATTGGGGGCTCCAGCTAGAGAGCTATTTACTGCTGAGATGGGTTATTATTAACCCTCACTCCCTCAATCATAACTGTTTGCAATGGGATTTCTCGGTGTCAGCCAGGTTTAGGATGTCACAAGTCCATTCCACTAATCAAGAAGGGGATTTAATACATTGCTATACATTGACCAGTGAAGGATGCAATGAGGTGGAGGAGGTAGATATTGAGGACATTGGCCTTAGGTACTAATTTGGCATCCAGGTCCACAGTATGGAAACAAACCAATGCAAGCATTGCTCTGCCCACTGTCTAGTCAAACTCAACAAATGGTACCCTGTAACCAGTTCCCATATTAAGAGGTATTATTATTATTATTATTATTATTATTATTATTATTATTATTATTATTATTATTATTATTATTATTATTATTATTATTATTATTATTATTATTATTATTATTATTATTATTATTATTATTATTATTATTATTATTATTATTATTATTATTATTATTATTATTATTATTATTATTATTATTATTATTATTATTATTATTATTATTATTATTATTA